TTGGGGATTACTTTAAAAGGGATGGTCTGGATTCGGTCCCGTATTTTTAGGGCCCCAAAAACAAAACACATTAAAGAGGGTCACCCAAGCATTGGCCATGTCCTGAATAAGCGGCGGCGAAAACACTTTAAAGAGGGTCCCTACACTAAACCAAGTGCAACATTAGTCCTAGACTCCTAAATTCTAAGCCCTAAACCCTAAATCCTAAGCCCTAAATCCTAAACCCTTAATCCTAAATCCTAGATTTCTCAATCCTAGACTCCTAAGTCCTAAGCCTTAAATCCTATAACCCCTGGACCCTACACTTTATAACCCAAACCCCAAGCCCTAAATTCTTAACCCTTAAACCCTAGCTCCTAGACTTCTAATCCTAAACCCTAAGCCCTAAATCCTTAACCCTAAACCTCAACTCCTAGAAATGCAAATCCTAACCCCTGACTCCTAAACGCGAAATCCTTAACCGGAGCAAAGTTTATCCCCTCGGCCTGAATTTCAGCTCCCAAGCCCTTAGGGTGTGGGGTTTAGGGTTTAGGGGTTTTAGGGTTCAGGGTTTTAGAGAGGTTTTAGGATTTAGGGTATTAGCGTAAAGGAGCTTTATGGTTTTATGGTTTGAGGTTTATAAGGGCCTTGGCCTAGGAATGTTCAGCGTTTGACCAGTGGTAGAAATCTGCACATTCTTAAGGGCGCTTTTTACAACAAAGAAGTCTCTCCTAGACGCCATAAAGCCAAAACCCTAAATCCTAAACCCTAAATCCTAAGGCCTAGATCCTGAGCCCTAAACCCTAAACTAAATCCTAACCCTGAGGCCTGCATTGGGTTCCGAAGTCTGTTGGTGGTACATGCTTTGAACATTAAGCCCTACCTTTCCTCATACCACCTTTAAAGGAATCCAAGGTACGATCCCAAAAGCCCTCAAACCACATGAGCTAGAGTCTAAACTCCTTAAAGGGGGTTACATATATTCAGGGGAATACTAGGAGGTTAGACTACGGCAGAAGGGCATGGAGGCCGATGGTTGCCCCATGCAACCCCATGATGTAATCGCTTATTGTTCTCTTCCTAGCCTTTTTGAGCGCTCAACCCCTGAGCTCTGAGCCCTAGACCCCTTAACCCTAAACCCTCAATCCGAAACCGGAAACCCCAAAACTCCCATAAACCGAAAACCCTGAAACCCCCAAACTCCCAAACCCCAAACCGCAGGTCTTGGAACTGCGCGCGGCGGCCGCACCTGGAGCCAGGCGTCGTGGAGACCGCGGAAACGGCTCGGGCCTCGGAGAGGGAACCAGGAAGCCAGAAGTTAGTCTATGTATGCAGACATATGAGCTATATAGGGTAGGGTTTAGGGTTTAGGGTCTAAGGTCCTCAAAGGGGATTCATGTATAGGGACATTAAATAGGGGACTACGATTATAGGATAATTTATGAAGGGGGATACAAGACAGTCTATGTCTGCATACATATGGGGCTTTCCCAAGATTGAGGCCCCTTATTTAGGGAACCCGCCATATATGTGTAGATGTAGGTGTGTATGCACATGCATATGTATGTGTATATATATATATAGGTTCACATGCTTCACATACACTTATTCACAGTGTTATATATATATATATGTGTGTGTGTATGTCTGTATGTACGTATGTGTGTATGCATGCATGCATGCATGCATGCATGCATGCATGCATGTGTGTGTGTGTGTACGTGTGTATGTGTGTATGCGTGTACGTGTGTATGTAGGTGTATGTTTATGTATGCAGGCAGTAGGTAGGTAGGTGTTCTCATATATATATATATAAGTATATGTGCACACTCATACGTGGGTTTAGGGTTGGTGCGTTTTGGATTCGTTTGTACATACATACATACATACATACATACATACATACACACACACATACCTACCTACCTACCTACCTACCTGCCTACCTACCTACCTACCTACCTAGCTACCTACCTACCTGCGTACCTGCGTACGTACGTACGTACGTACGTACGTACGTACATACACATGTGATTATTTTACCGCTGGTTGTTGCTGACGAGCGTAAATGTGTTTGGATGGTCCAGGCTTAGCGTTGGATGCGAAGGTTTTAGATTGAATGGGTCAGCTTTTGGTGTTTTGGTATGCGGGGTCTCCATACTACTCCACCCTAGCCCCTAAAACTGATCCTGTAAATCTTTTAACGGATATCCCATAGCTTCTCAACACTCCGAAGATCTTTTCGCGGGACACCGCAGATTGTTCAATTCAAGCCCTTGTCAACAGCCATTGTACATCTTACATGGGACTCCCCCATGCGGTCCATCTTAACCCCTACATAACAGAAGCTGTAAATCCTTGCAAGACACCCCCTCTACATTTCCTCCCACCACCCTTGCCCAGCAGACCCTACAAACACTTTTCAAAGGGACGCCCGTACTTGTATTTTTCGTCTACGACCCCGCGTAGCCTTTGCAGGAAGATTCTAGCGCTCTCCAGACTACCTAAAGAGGCATATACTAGCTATATTAAACCCTAAACGGCTTTGGAGTTCTGATGCCCTCCAAACACGAGCGCTAGAGCGCAGGTGTGTCCAATGCCTCCCGTCACTCAGTTGAGTTGGCATGGTACTTGTAACGCGGTTCAGGTTCAGGGCTTAGGGCTTAGGGCTTGAAGGCGTTGGGCTTGCGCTTAGCATGGTGCTGTATCACAGTTTGAATTGTAGTGTTTCAGTGTATGGCTTCGGGAGTCAAAGTGTGGGATTCAGCGTTCAGTACACTTGTTTGTTTTCAGATTAGTTGTGGCATTTAGCGCCAAGATTTTCAAATCATGGAATCTTGGGGATCCGAAGTGGCATTTCTCCCTGCCAACCGTACCTAGCAATTGAGGGCTGATCCCTAAACCGTAAACCCTAAACCGTAAACCCTAAACCCTAAACCCTAAACTCTAAACCCTAAACCCTAAACCCTAAACCCGGCATTTGGGAGTACGGGTGCTTGCTCCAAAGGAGTGAGTTTGACGCCTAGGGTGTTAGGGGGTTAAGGGCTTTAGGAGTTAGAGTTAGGGATTTAGGGTTTTAGGGTTCAGGAAAACAAGCTTTTGCCCTCACAATCCTGATATGTATAGTATATGCCTACAGTATGTAGAACTACCCCCCGAACCTTTATCCTAATAAATTGACCCACAACCCAGCTCTCCACTGCAACATTAAACTTAAAACCCCTACATAAAACCAGTTCCCCTTCCAAGTTCTAATGTCTTTTCATTTGACTCGCCCTAATCTCTCTCTCACACTCTCTCCCTCCCTCCCTCCCTCCC